ACACTTGCACACACACACACGCAACAGTACATTGCATGCTGTAATGTATAAAATACCATACAAACACTACCTATAAGATGGACATTAATAATATCTTCGCATATTGGCTTCCACGCGTTTTGTGCCCGCACGTACCTGTAGACACATACTTTGTTTCTTGGCCAAACGATGCATCAGCGGCTGTTATCCCGAGCCCACTGCATTAAACGGATTATTCATGCCATGCGGAGCGGTCTCTTCATATAAGTAGGTACACTTTGTGTCCACACACAGTGCGCAAAGCATCATGAAAGGGAGAGCACTTAATTTCCTCCCCGCGCTGTGCTCTGCTTTGTTGTCTCACCACTGCAACGCAGTATATATACGTGTTCCTCTTTCTCTCACTCTCTTTCTCGATAGTATATATAGCTCCGTGTACACACTTCCATGCATACGAATACTCGTCATTCCCTTACCATGTCCTCCATTTCCTCTCTTTTTATCTCTCTATTTGTATTACGTGTTTTGTGCGTGCATAAACCGCATTTACGTGAACCCTCTTTTCCAACGTTTACGTGTCCATCTTTTGCTACCCTGTCTTGCATATTTTATCATGGTTGTACTAAATGGGTCGAATCTTTATATATTAATACCAAAGATGGATACAGCGCGTAGCTTCATGAGCATATATAGATGCGGGAAGAGGGCGGTGTTTTTGTTCGCTTCGGAATAAGCGCAAGTGGATTTATCCGTTTGAGGAAGCCATTGTGACTCGAATGCTTATTGTTATTATTCTTCTTCTTCATCTTTGGGCTCTATTTGTTACGTGCGTAAAAAAAATGGATGACCAAGTACTCGATTGGCTTGGGTAATAAGTTGGCGGGAAGGAGAAGGCGGACGGTCGGGCGGAGGTTGCGTGTACGGTGTATCGCGGGATTTGTGCTTGACGTAACTTTATGAGATATCCCGTTTGAGGTGTGGTGTTTTGTATTTTTCCGTCGATTGAGACGTAAGATAACCTACAGGGATCAATTCGCGACAATTCTACTGTAACGCAGAGCAATATCAAGGCCCCTCTGCTGTATTAAGTAGAACAAGCCGTGTTTGGTCAGACACGCCACAATTTTTTTTTTGCTCCGGTGCGTACACGTTTCTGTCATTTTTAAATATACAGTTGAGTTTTGAATAATCATGGACAATTATCCGTAGATGTTGCCGGTAAAGTTTTTATTGATGATCACAGGTTGAGTTGCCGATGAAAAATCTTTTTATCCTAAAAAACTACATTATCCAAAATTCAGATCCTTTGGGTTAAAACAAGAGAAAGAGAGCGAGGGCTTGCCGTCACGTACACATCTACGCGCTTTTAAAACAAAAACAAACAAAAAGTATTTGCAGAAAGCAACGGTGAACTCTCTATTAGACGATACGAGCTTGCACTTACGATGTGAAAACAAGCGTTTGGTCTCTTTCAACAATCAAAGTGGCCGTACTCCCGGTTGGAAAATATTTTGAAAAAACAATTCTCGCGCGCGCGTTTCGTATACCTTCCTTGGCGATGGAAAGATAAAAAATTCCACACCTAAAACAATGGCTTAGCCCGCCGTTAAATCACAAACGTGGGCACATTCTCTCACGCGTACACTTATGTATCATGTGAAAAACAAGAAGAGAGAAAAAAAAAAAAAAACATGCACACGGCAACGGGGAGACACGAAGCAAACGCAAAAGCTAAAAATAAAATGCACAGTGTATAAAACAGCGTCAGCTGAAAAAGAAAAACGAGCGAGCTAGCAGCGCTTAAATAGCAACCACACCCCCAAGCAAAGCATTTTTTTCACAAACGCAAAAAAGACAACGGTGCATACCTACTTTCGTGTAACGCGAGCGCCCCAAAAATTTAGCCGAGCAAAAAAAAAAGAAGAGCAAAACCACATGATGTATATATAAAAAAACCCAACTCCCCGCTTTCTTAAAAAAAAAAAAAAAAAAAAAAAAACATGTAAATAAGTGAGAGAAGGATAATGAATGAAAAAAAAAAAAAGAAAAAGTGGTGAGCAGAGGACGTGTCTTGTAAACTGTGTGCGTGTGCTCTGTCCATATGTCTAGACGCCCCGGCACTACGTGGTCCGTGACTACCCGTCCTCGGGACTGAGAACGGCCGAGGAGCAGTACAGCTACTCGTACACCAACAACAGCAGCAGCACCAATGCCGGGAACCCGTACGGGCGCACCCAGCGCCAGAGCTACACCACCGAGAGCACGACGAAGCGCGACAACGGGCCCTACGGCTCCTACTCGACCGAGCGCAGCACAAGTAGCTCGACCGGTGGACCCGGGGGCTACCACTCGTCCTACGAGACCCGCACCACCGGCAGACTGCCCCACGGCACCACCTACCGCCACTACTCGTACCGCGTTTAACTCGACGCTACGATTACCCCGATATTCGCTGTTTTTTCGCTCGGTGTTGCCCAAGAGCTGTTAATCTTGTTTTACTCGCATCACTTTTCTTTTATTGCATAACCACGTCGTAGCTCTCGCGCATCGGCTTGCAAGCTTACCTTTTAGCGCAAAACTACGTGGCAAGATATGGAAATTTTCTTTTCTTTTTTCTTTTTTTTTTTTCTATCTCTACAGCTCCCTTTCGTTGATCCTTTTGCGCGGGATGCTCGATTAGTGAATCTGTATACACGTAAGCTACGTTCATACGCAACTGGCTAAGCCCAAACCTGGACCCTAAAGGAAAATTTTAACGCTTTCAATGTTTCGTCTCCGCTGGTAATCTATTATTGTATTTCAAAGTAACAGATCGACGAATCAGTGGGTTCTTTTGTTGGCAAGTCCCAAAATGAAATTACTTGTACATTGGCTCAAAAGTACGAGAGTAAATGTACGGACGGATAAATAAAGTGGGAAGAGTCCCAACAACAAATAGGTATACCGATGAAACTAGAACTACAGCTCGGAGAGCGTACGTTGGGTATTCGATTTCCTCCACCGTCGTCGCTTTATCGAGGTTTTCGAATGTCAAAGCGTTTCCACGATAACTAATGGCCCAGCCACGTGTACATGTTAAGTATAAACCAATAATACCTACACACACAGAAACACGAGTCCAATGTAAACGCTCGTTACAAAAATCTCGCCAAAGGGTCCCCTTTGACGCGACCACGGGGCACGTTTATCTCCCCAAAAAAGAGCACGAGTGCACGCGCTGTCTTAAAAAAAAAAATTAAAAAAAACAAAGGGTCGAGAGGGCAGGCTCCAGAGCTCAAAGGAAACGTCTTGCTCTTTTTCTTTTTTATCCACACCGCGCATAATTTTCAAAAGGCTTATGCACGCGCAGAGCATTTTGTTTTAGTTGAAAAAAAAAAAAAAAAAAGTATCCATAACAATAAAAAATAATCGCAAAGCATTTAGTACAGCGCAGTTTTTCACTATTTCCCGTTGTTTTTTCACTGTATAAACAAAAAAAAAAAAAAAATCAGCTTCAACAACATACAAGCACAAGGTGGCTTTTAGATTCGGAACGTGCCAATGAAAAAGCGTCGATCGCACGCACACAGGCGTCGAACCTTGAACTTCCGCGCGCTCGATCCAATTATAACCGGACCCATCCTCCTTCTCCTCATCAGCTCTCGGCGGCGCGCGGCTTTTGATTTCCACGAGCCGAAAGCGCAATCGGGCGATTAACGAGGAAGGGCAATGCGCGACAATGAGAGGATTGTCACCATCACTCGGCGTCTGTCGCTTTAGAATTTAGAGAAGCGCGCGTAATCAGCTTGTTCGGGGGGGAGGGGGGAAGACAAAATTGCTTTGGCTTCGAGTGGCGATTTTTCACTTGAGCATGTGGTATCCGTTTGTCCATCTGTACACGGTACACATTTTGTACGCTCAAGTTAAATGAAAAATATTGTGACGCAGCAGCAGCAGCAGTATAATCATTGAGAGCTTTTATGTATGATTTTTTTTTGATGTTCAAATACATGTACTCGAATTATGAAAATCGTCTATCGTTTGTTTTGTCCGCCCTTTCCCAGACCGATAACTTATTTTCCTGTTTCTTCTAATGTGTCCTCATTCATTTTTTTTTTTTATTATGAAAATTTTTTTTTCTTTTTCTACTTGTCCTTTTGTACACTCGAGAGGTGTACCCGCTAATTTTTCTTTTTTATTATTATTATTTTTTTTTCATCTGTTGCTAATTCTGAGGTGAGAGAACGAGAAACCGACTTGTTTTTTTTTTTTTCATTTTTCATTACCTATGTAAATTAAAAAAAATAATGGTAACATACACAATGGGGGGAGAAAAATCCTCCAAAACCCGTACGAGTGTGAAAAAAGAAAACCACCACCCTCTAACAATATTTAACTACATCGAACTCGTACGGAGGACAAAAGAAAACGTGAACGGAGCCGTGTTGTTGAATCGTCAGCAGAAGCAGCAGTACTGTACAATCCAAATTGCACGGCACCAATTAAACTTCCGCCAGATAAGGTCGAACTGGGCCTTTCGAGAATGAGAAAGAGCGGATTTATATCTCTTGGACCTCAGTCCTCGTAAAATGTAAAAAATCCATAAAAAGCATCGGAATAATAATAATAACAATAATAAACTTAAGATAACGACAGATAGGACTCAAGGGCACAGTATATCATTTCATAGTACCCGGACATCGAACATCAAAAAACCACCCTCTCATTGTATCGTCCCCTGCATCAAATAATAACAATCACACTCATCGCTCGAAAGCATCTCTAACACGCCTTCCCCTGACAATAATACACCACAATTACAACTAGTATCTTTATTTTTTCCATTTCTCTTCGTTCTGCGTCCCGTGCGCTTGTTCTCTGCGTGCCTCTGTATCCACACCACCACTTCTTCTCTCAACTTGTCAACAACAACAACAACAACACCGTGGCACCGCTGCGACGACTTGGTGTATCTTCCCCCTTGCAATAAAACCGCAACGCAAACAAATACAAAACGAAAATAAATATTGCACCGAATAAAGCCGCTGCTGCGGGTCCCATATTACCTGTACGACCCCTACGTCTTCCGATACTACGTGAGTATTGCGACACTCTCCTACCGGCTCGACCTCGCGGATCGAATGAGTTTGCTCTCCTCGAAATGTTTCCTCAGCATCAACAAAAAAAAACCTACTCTCATTCGACCGTGCGATCAGAAGTGTCGAGCCGGTGTGTGCTTCACCCCCTTAGCTCCGCTAAACATCATCTATAATACATCTCACCTACACGATTTACTCTCGAATGTCCTTTTTTTTTTTCTTTTTTCTTTTTTCTTCGTCATTCTAATCATCGTTTTTACTGTCCTCAGTGCTGTAGAGAGGCTGCGTATCCTGCTGACCCTGCTGCTTTTGACACTGTTTCTCTTCATTTTCATCCAAACGCGATTAATCCGCGAATAACCAACCCCTCGCTCTCTTTCGCGTGAAACAATATATGATTAGCCGAGTGCTGAAATAGGAGCAACGTTTAATCAAAGTGCTTGGTAAACCAACGAAAATTTTCGGTGTACGAAACGTTGTTTCGTGCGCACATCGGGACGCCGGATGATTTATTTCGGTGCTTCGCGGGCCTTGGGAAAAAAAAAAAAAAAAAAAAAAAAAAACAACGCCGCAATTAGCCTTTCGTTGTCGCTGCGTAAGAGCAAGCTCTCTTGGCCGAACGGCTCTTCACCGGTTATTTTTACACACCCTGGCAGAAAGTCTTTAGGTCAGTGGTAATGAATGAGCCGCCACCGCGACCATCTCCCAGTGCGTAGGTCGATTAATAAACGGCGCTTTTAACCGCTCAATTTGTTCAATTTTAACTTTTCCGCGTTATTGGGTAATTGAGAGCGGCCATTATTCTTTTTCGCGTTCATTGGGTTATCAAGTTACCCGCGGGGCTCTCGAATATTATATAAATTTTTAATTCCACGTATCCGCGTGATTATGATTTCATTAGATCCGACGCCGGTGGTACGTGTACGAAATTCAACGACTTTGAGTCTCGAAAAGTGTACACGAGTCGGTGCGCGGATCTCTTCAGTTTTAGAAACTCGGCCAGGAAAACAATTAAGCTCGCGTCGGAGCTCCCCAGGGCCGAAGAAAGAACTGAAAAAAAAGCCCCGTCACTCGCGATTCCGCGAAAGTGAAAAAGGGGGGTAGGCGAAGCCGAGGGAACGTCGCTCAAAAGCTCTCGGCCTCTTTTATCGCTCGCCGCCAGCCTTTCGCCTCGCTGAGCTTAATTATTCCCCGCTTTTGACTACCCAGCAAAAAACGAAATAAAAAAAAAAGAAAATAAAAAATAAAATAATGATATTAATCATTGAAAATAACCGAGCATGATCATCTTCATCGCGATTCATCTTAAAACCGCCATCGGTATGAGACAAAAAAAAAGGCCAATTGTGTAAAAAATAAAAACGTTTTAACAATAAACTGAAACGAGGATAACAATGTATAGCTAATGTATACGCACGTGGGTGGGTGTGCGTGTACCTCATGTGTGTGTGTGTTGTGTACAGGTGAGGTCGTTGCCTCACATGCCGTATACGGCGCACCGGAAGCTCGTAACGATCGTGCGTACGGTGCCGGTGCGGATTTACCACGCCGGCGCGTACTGGCCCGTCGTCAAGACAATTAGGCTGCACGCTAAAGTCAGGCCCAGCATCATAGCGGCAGAGCTCAACAGGATACGCTACCTCACCAGGCCCTCCTTCAACTCGTACGTCGAGCAGTACCTTAACTCCAAGGGGTTCACCGTAAGTCCTGTAATACGCACGTGCAGCCACCGCCTCCTCTAGCTTCTCTCTTATCTGCTACTTTTTTTTTCTTTCCTTATTTTTGCTGATTGGTTTATATTGGTTCTTCTCTTTGGCTTGTTTCCTTTTTTTTTTTTTCTCTTTTTTTTCTTTTTTTTTTGAGCTTTCGTTGTACAGGCGGCCAGTGAGCAATCGGGACGCGACAACGAAGACGAGAATCAGGGGGGAGAAGGAAGAGACGAGACGTCGAAATTGAGAGACGAGAAAGTGCTTCCTCAAGCCTTTGAGGCGATGACTCGTGTAACTATTCGCTGTGCTGATGAGCTGTCTTTGAGTTATTTTAGATCTTGTCGTTTAGTCCTCTTACGTAGATCGTAGAAATTTGTTCGTAGATTAATTACTATAGTGTTACAAGTTAGATTAGAGTGTGATGGTTTTTTTTATGTTTTTTTTTTAATGGGTCTTAAATAGGTGAATTTTTTTTGTCCAGTAAGTAATTAGTTGGTTGTTATCTGTTGGCTAGATGGTAGAATGGTTTGACTGTAAAAGCCTGTACTTGTTCCTACGACAAACGATTGTGACAAGATAATCTATATACATGTATAAAAAAAAATAATAACAATGCTTTGAGAGTAAAGTTGTTACGCTGTATGGTTTTATATGTTTGGTAACACTGTAAATAATGAATACGGATCGGAGCAAGCATTACTTTCGAGTAAACGGGTAATTTTTAATATGGTGATTTTTAGTTGTTTTTTTTTAACATATGTCCAATTTTTGTCTAAATATTTTTTACTCTCCGAACACTTGATTCTTTCATGTATTTTATGTACAACTGTATTTTTGCGACGCTTATAAAAATTTATGTAATGAAGCAAATGGTAAGGCAGTTCAAGCTACTAGTACAATTGTTGTTTAATTTAGGATTTCGATGACGAAGCAAAGGATATCCGCGCAAAGACGGCTAAACTCCTCCGCAACATTCACGTCTTTGTTCCACGACCCTCCATTAGGTAAGAATAAACTTTATTTGTCAACAAAAACTCATCAATTTGGCTAACATTATATTTTGACACGGAAAAAAAAAATCAGTAGAAACACCCCGGTATGGTCAGACGCGGCATAAAATTCCTTTGACTATCTATTGCCGCGTAAAAATAATGAATTCAAACGGGTGTTTGCAATTCAATTCACAGTCCTCAATAGAATACTATAAAATACTTTCGAAGGAAATAATAGAAAAAAAAAAAAAAAAATCCATTCCTCCATTGCCTTTCGGCAGCGATTACGACGAGCACACGCTACCCGAGCGTCTGCGCAGCGACGACTACGTGAGGCGCATAATCAACGCGAAAAATGCGCGCAAGGACATCGAGAGCCTGCCGTGGTACTCGAGCCCGCAGAAGCGCTCGATAGGCGAGGGCCACCTGGCGTGTATCAAATACGCAGGGGGCAGGCCCCAGGCGAAGCGGCGCTCCTACTACACGGTCGGCGACCTCGTGCCCGGCGACGTTAAATCCGACGTCAAACTCATGAGCTACTACATGAAGAACCGCAAGGCCGCCGAGGATGCCTGTAAGTCGAGCGGCGAGCAGCGCCGCGAGCACAGACGCCGGCCCTCTGTTGCGATCAGTAACGACCCTCCCGCGTCGTAGTCACCGACTCGAGCCCCGTGAAAATTTTTTTTTTTATTTATTTATTTTTTTTTTTTTTTTTTTTTTTTCTAATATACGATTTTGATAGTACCTTTTACAGTCTTGTACTTTCTGGGGCACGGCTTTCTTTTTTTTTTTAGGTTTTGACAATGTGGTGGACCGGGGCAGTTTTAGACTGCGTACGAGATTTTTGTTTCTTGCTGACGTGTAACTTAAATAAAAAGCTGCGTTTATTTTTTTTAGTTAAATGTCGGGCGTAGTTATTCGAAAGCCATAGTCACATGTCGCATTCTTTTAGATTTTTCAGTTGATCGAGTAATTAATTACTTGGCTCGTGTTACCCCCGAAAACGTTTTTTTCGCGAAACTTGAAAAATCCCCGGTCTACACCCAACTTTTCTTTATTTTTATTTTTTTATGTAACTTAATCTTGAAGCATAGCGTATTTTGTAATACACACTATATTTTAAAATGTTTTCCGAAAAATTCGCATTTATTGAATATGGACGTGTTTCGTTGTTACAATGTTTAATAAATGAAATGAATTTTCACAAAAAAAAAAAAAGACAAATTATTGTAAAAAATACAAAATCATACTACAATTTATTGGACCACAGATACACGCAAATGAATAAATAAATGTATTTTTTGAAGAAACACAATGTTTTTACATCGATATTTTTTGATCACATGCAAAACACGTCCATTTTGCTGTTTTTTCACAAGCTCGCACACATAGGTATTTTTAATACAAATATATATTGATATTATAAAGACGGCCTCATGACGTCGTCGTGTGATGCACTTTTTTGTCTTTCTTACAATTTTACCATTTTGATTTAATTCTAGATCTACCTTTCAACATTTAATTTACACGTGATTGAAGTTTTTTTTTCCTCCTATCCTTTAATTTGTTTTTTATATTTATTGTTTTTTTCTTGTGTATGTGAAACGTGCATTACTATTCAATGTTTCAAGTTTTCCTACCTCTCTTATGTTTGTATCTCTATTTGTGTCTCTTATGTCTCTATCTGGCACCTGTCTGTAACAATAAAATTAAGCCTCTTGAATGGTAACGACGTGATTTCGTCCATCTGAGAATGTTTATGATGATTTATCAAAGTTTAAGATAAAAACAAAACAAAACAAAAAAAAGAGAGAGAAGCGGACACTGGAGTAAAAAAGTAAGCCATTGTGAACATTATACATATAGAGAGCGAGGAACGGAAAATTCGTCGCGAGGCTGGCATTGCAAACCGTACGTCAAGGCGTGTGAAAATAAAAAAAATAAATAAAAATCGAAACAGTAAGCAATGGATAAAGAAAAAAAAAATAATAATAACAATAGGTGCCTAACTGAAAAGAAAAGAAAAAACAATCGAACGACACGATCCCAGCATGTTTTGTCCACGTTTCAGGCGGCAAGCAATACTCCAAGCCAACCAGCTGGAGAGATCGCGTCCCTGAGCTGTACGAGGACCCCACTAGAAAGAAAATAATTGACGAAGAGGAAGAAGACGTGTGGGAGGACTGAGACCACTTTTTTTTGACCAAAAAAAAAAAACAAAACAAAACAAAATAAAACAAAAAAAGTCCATGATAAACAAACGCCACCCCTCATTGCANTAATAACAATAGGTGCCTAACTGAAAAGAAAAGAAAAAACAATCGAACGACACGATCCCAGCATGTTTTGTCCACGTTTCAGGCGGCAAGCAATACTCCAAGCCAACCAGCTGGAGAGATCGCGTCCCTGAGCTGTACGAGGACCCCACTAGAAAGAAAAAAAATGACTGAGAGAAAGAAGAAGTGTGTGAGGACTGACACAACTCTTTTTTGACTAAAAAAAAAAAACAAAACAAAACAAAATAAAACAAAAAAAGTCCATGATAAACAAACGCCACCCCTCATTGCATATAAATACGACCCACGCCCAAGAACCCCGACAACCCCCACAACCCCCAATCACCGAATCATCGACCCAAACGACTTAACGTTGACAAGACTTTTTATTCAATCTTAATATTCTACTTTTTTCGTTGATCTAACATTTGTTTGTACATGTGTACATAGTATTTGTTTTACTCATTAAAAAATTAACTGATGTACATTATAATGCTAGAGTATATCGCTGCGGGCTTCCAACACAGACATTACAATGTTTAACTCACAAGTACACATGTTGATAAAAAAATTAAATAAAAAAAAAAACTATAAAAAAGGGAGAAATGGTGGAGTGCAAAACTTTTATCATTATTTCTATTATGATTGCTATTGTTGTACAAACTCTCATTCGAACGACGCACAGTTAATGCGGAAATTACATTTTTATTGGCTCAGACACGAACGTTATGTCGGAAAAGAACCTTTTTCGTTGTTGTCGATAAAACTCAAACAAAAAAATTCCAAACATTTTTTTATTACTTTATAAATATCGACATCTCTACTGAACTAATGAAAATATACTACAAATGAAAGTATAGTTTGAACCAACTGAATGGCAAAATGGACATTTCAATTATTATTAAAAATTCTGTCGTTTCATTTGACTTATCGGGAAATAAAACTCTCACTGAAAATAACGAAAATAAACATCGTCTAGAGCTTTCTTCCTATGAAAATTAAAAAATATAACGTGTCATTTTAAATCAAATGACAAAACGCATCAAAAGGATCTTTTCCATCGAACGACATCACACATTGTACACGATTTCAAACGAACACTTGATAAATATGAAATAAAGATAATTATTTATTCCATACGACACAGAAATCGAAATTTTTTACCCTCCGAAATTCCTATAATTCACCATTAAACTTATCATGTACAAATAGAGTCCACGTGTCCTCAATTCAGTACGAGGTAAGATTATTAAATGCGTGCCGCTTCAAACCCCTAACGTCTTGTCTGTTTTTTTTTTCCTCGAGTGTGAAGGATAGATCCGCGCGAACCGTCGATTACACACCTCTTTGGCTTTGACCCGTTGAAATTTTACTTCAAATTATCAGTTTCGGAATTCATTAAAATAAATATTGCACATTTCAGATTCAGCAGAGTGAAAAATCAAAGCTTTTGAGCAAAGAGAGAGGCCATTAAAAATCAACAAATCAACGCAATATCTCGAAAAACCTTCGAACCACAGATTCCATTGAGCTCAATATTAAAGTTCCAATAAAGTAAAAAAATTAAAAAAAAAAAGAAATTTCAAACGAATCAAAGTATACGAGAGCTAAATGAAAAGAAAGTAAATCTTTCGAGAGTCCTATATGTTGTATCCTCTCTTCGCGATACTGCAGCAATGCAGGTCGTCAGCAACGGCAGGGCGAGAAAATCGCGTAAATTCTTCCTCTCTCTCTCTCTCTCTTTGGAAACCCTTTGGCGGTGACCGTATTATCTTTTTTTTTTTTTTTTTCTTTTCTTTCTCTCCTTTTTACGCCACACGCGCATTGCTTTTTACTGTCGNTTTTGATTTTTTTTTTCTTTCTCTCGGGGCACGAGAAATCCGCGCTCTACTCTCATTTCTCCGCACTCGAGGACTCGCAGTCTGCGCGAAGATAATCCCTAATAAAAGCAGCCCGCAATAAAAGGCAACCCCAGCCCCCACCCCCACATTACGCTCCCATCTCTATACTCACCCACACGTTCATGCAGCCATAATAATAATAATGTATAATGATAAATAAATAGAGACGGAGGAGGGGAGAGCGTACAACAATGCGAGCCGCGCCATTGTGCGAGGTCGATGAGGCAAAGATAAACGCGACCGCAAAGCCCTCTCTCTCTCTCTCTCTCCCTCTCTCTCTTATTCATCACCCATCCATCTCAGCCGCCTAAACTCATCGAATCGCGCGTTCGGTCATTCATTCATTATCTGTTGTGCGCGTGCTCTCATCATCGTCATACCCGCGATTCGGTATCATCACCCAACACACTGCACCGCAAAGCCTGTGTACAGCGAGACCCTCCCGACTACCCCACCCCCAACCATCTACCCCTTGACAGCGAGCTATTTTGCATAATTCGCACCCTCTTGAATAATATATTTGATTAACGTGTGCAGATAACGCGCTGTACCCAAGCTCCATCGTTATCTACATACCATTACTGTATATGTGTACATACCAATACCCAATATCGCACCACATGTTTATAATATATATCCAAGCAACTTTGGTGCGCTCTTTAACCCCGATTCATCGAGTTTTTTTTTTTTTTTTTTCACTCAAATCAATATTTACATTAATATGTGGATAATTGTTGCGTCGCTCTGTCCTAGTCACATCATGTCATTCATGTCGTCCGTGTCGTATTGCATTACGCATAGTTCAGGGACCGGATGTCGTGCTGTTTGCTCCTAATGAACGCGCGACTAAATACGGGTAATAAAATGGCCAAAAATTTAATAAATTTTAAGTTGAGCCAAAATTATAGAAAATTTTTTGAATTTCTTCCTTTTTAATCGCGCGATCGTTGGTGATCGACGAAACGTTATCCAACTAGGTCCTGGACTTACAGTCCTCCTCACGATGCACGTTCATTTTCAGTCGAGATTTCAAGTGCTCGTTCTTGCGAACACAAGACAATAGTTACATGTGTGTGCAAGTGTCCTATCTCACGGCAATCCCGAAAAAGGACATGTGTATGTTTTTCTGTTTGCTTGCCAGAATGTTTTCCTCGCAAGGGCGAGCCACGTCTAAAAATACACGTATAGTGAAAAATATTAGTGATACACAATAATAATCTCATCGAAATTCAAGGCTTACGTGAATAATGAGTATCTGTTGTAGTTTTTTTTTTTTTTTTTCTGTTTGTCTGTTCAAATTTGATGTCTCTAACTTGTTCGTCGCCACGTAACACATACACACCATACGTGCATAAACATGGCAAAACAAAAAAAAAGCTTGTGGCTGATGAAAACAAAAGCTCTGGATTTCACGCAGATTGTCTTTGTTGTATTCGCAGGGTGACTTTAATGCTTTTGGCATTGAGAGAGTACATAATTACAAAATAACGTCAATGCAAACAAATGGTAAAATGAAACTTTCTTTCGTATTTTTTCCGCAGCTCCGTTAATTATACATCATCATAGCGTACCTATTAGCGAGGATCACGATGGTTAGTATGAATTTTCAATCGATCAAGCTGAAATTAAAAAAAACAGGCTTACTTACGGATTTGCTTTTTCTTTTTTACCTTTTGCTGACGAGAAAACAAAAAAAAAATGAGCACCTCTCAAGTGGCATAAGTCATCTTGATAATTAAGCGCAACAAA